AAAGGGAGTTTTGAGTCTTGAGCTCAACAGGAATTTGGCCATTTGGAGCAAGGGTAGGAAAGGGAGTTTTGAGTCTTGAGCTCAACAGGCTGCTTGGAAAGAAAGTAGTACCTCTAAATTTTAACTTTTAAAGCCCAGGAGAGTGAGGGAAATGTATGTATGCCTGCGTGTGTGAGTGAGAGGACACTTCAATCACAGCTGGATCCTTCTCCCTCTGTTCCTTTCTTAGGCACAAACAGATCTGTTCAACCTGCAGACCCTGGAAAACAAGGGGGTTTGGCAGAGCAAAGGACCTTATTATAGGGAGAAGGGAAGTTGTGTGAAAATGGAATGGAAAAATAAGCAAGAGAGTCGAACCGAGACAATCAGCTGGAAAGTAACTGAGCAAAGCCTTGTCCAAGGAGGTGTCCTTACCCCACTGTTAAGGAGAGCAGGGTTCTTCCAGATTTTCCTGGGTTTGAAAATTGAGGCGGGAAAGGTTGTGGATGGAGGTGCACATATGTCAGATCCCTGTATCTGTCATTTCTTCAGTGGAAGCAAAAAAGGTGGGGGAGACTGATAAAGAAATCCTTTCTTGATGTAACCTGAATATATTTAATCTTATATCGAATTTGTATAACCTACACATGATACAATGGGGGGGAGGAAACCCAGATGGCTGGAACTTATTACCTCTGAGAGGCACAGCCAGGAGATGAGAAGACCATAAAAATTCCACAGTGAGACGTGTCCTGGGAACTTTTGGAAAAGTTCGTTCTGAAAAGGGGGTGGGGGGAAATTAGGTATGCCCTGGGAAACTGTGAAAAAGATCGTTTCTACAAAAGGGGTGGGGGGGAATTAACATACTGGCTTTTGTTTCACTAAATACACATCGAGATAAGGGGAGGGGTTCTAAACTCCCTTATCTATCCCTGTATGCCTGAGAGACCTTAGTCACTGCTTTGAACTCCTACATGAATTGTCTCATCTCAGTAAAGGATTCCTTTTGATACGTTTTCAGAAGTTCATTCTTATTAATTGAATGGGAAAAAGTTCTGTAGCCTGACATAATACTCACTGTATGTGAGGGGAGTAGCAAGTCCTCCAGGATCCCATTTTGGTCTGAAAACAATTGCGGGAGTTCCCAGGAAAGGAGGTGACTTTTCTTTGATAGGGAACCAGAGTCCTGACCCTTTTTTGGATCCAAAAACTGAATAGGTAGGGCAGGAGCTTGTTAGGAGGTTTAATCACTGGGACCCGGCAGAACCAATTGAATCCCTATACTGGAAATAGGGAGACATAGGAACCACTAGCTCGAGGGCCAGGCTTCCCTCTTGGAGACTTGTTCAATGCCTGGGATGAGAGACTGCTACCTGTCCTGACTAGTATAACAAGAAATGAGCAAGGAAGTTGCATAAGGAGTGGACTTTGCTCAGGAACAAAGTTGGAAAACCAATTTGGCTAAATAAAGGTATTTTTAAAAAATGAATATATAGTAACATTGATTCCCCTCCCCTTCTTTTAAGCAATTAATATTTTTGTTAAGTTTTTTTGTCTTTCCTAAAGTTAACTGAGATGGTGAAAATGACCAGGATGTGTAAACCTGAGAGTTCTGATGTCCTTTTCCTTCTTGTTCCCTTGACTTGTGTGTGTGTGTGTGTGTGTAAAGGTCTTAGTGTGTTAGGTAAATGTAACTGTTAAATGTCTAATCCCTAAAAACAAGAATTCTAAACTTTGTTAGAAAAAAAATGTTAAACCATGAAAGAAAAATATTTTCACCCTAGTTTGCCTGGCCAGTAAAACAGGATGAAAAGAGCTGCGTTCATTTTCCCTCTTCTCTCTCTGTACCTTTAACCAAAAAGAAAAAAGAAAAGAAAAGAAAGCCCAGGAGGGAATGTTTCAAACTCATTTAGATGAAAAGTTTTATTCTTTCTTTTACTGCATATGCTTAAGTGGGTTTTATCTGTCTCTTTAGGAAGCGTAGTGTCAACTCATGTCTTTTCAAACCCTGCCTGAAAGCTATCCACCCCACTCCACCCCTCCCTCCTTATCCTCTGTTCGCCATTCCTATGTCAGATCGACAATGCTTCTTCTGGGGAGGGTCCCTCACAAAGTGATCTTATCCTCATATCTTTCAGACCTCCACAGACAACTTTGCAACCTTTGGAAGCAGAACACACAGACCCAGGCATTGCCTCCAGAGGAGACCCTCCATCCAATTGAGTCAGGGAATGGATCCTGTCATCTACCAGAAAGTCATCACTGCAACCAGAGTGCAACAGACCTTCCCCAGCCTGACTGACACCACGCCAAGCCCAACAATACTCAGTAGGCTTGAAAGAGGGGACCTTGAGATGGACAAGTGGAGACTAAAGATTCTCTTTGAAGCCTCAGAAAACAACTGGAAAGACTATGGGGGGAGGGTGGAAGCTCATTGTGAGGTTTTCTATCTCGCCTCATTTACATTGTAATCCGTTAAATGGATTCATAGAAGGATGGCATTTGGGAGTGGTTGGCATAGCAAGTCTTCCATCTCTGGTCTGGTGGGAGGGAGAATTGTCAAGAATGTTTGTACTACCCATCTTGTAGGAGTCGCTGCCCACGCACACCATTCAAAATCACACTGAGGCTATTATTGCCTTCACCTGCCTCCACGTAACGTTTTGCCTAGGCTGGTTCTTGCTTTTTGGCACTAAGGCCTATGCAGGCATATCTTCCTGCCAATTCCATTTGGGCCATGTCTCCTCAGGCAATTAACAACCCACATCTGAAGAAATAGCGGAAAAGAGATTTCAAAACCCCAAGCCCTGATTGTGACTTACGAATGATGCTGCCCAGTTTCCCAGCAAGGCAGAATATGTTGCATTGGTGGTCTCATTATTAGAAGTCCCAGGGCTCGTTGTGTTCAACTTCAGAAATATTAATAGCCTAGGTTGCACACCGGCTAACCCCAATTTGGCCTCAGAAACCCTGGATACGCTAAACCAAAAGCTAAGGCAGGTTCAGGAAGCAACCCTTGGAAATGGCCAGCCTTTGATTATATCCTAAGGCACAATTATGTCTGCAAAGAATTTTAGGGCACGTGCTTGATTCAGACCTGACTAAAAGGTCACAGGAAGTAACATCAAAAGACCTGAAAAGAATTAGCACAGAATATTGGATACTATAAATTTCTTTTCTACTTAACAGAATTTTTGCCCTAGCTGGTAGACCTTCGTGGGTTGAAAGCTCTCCTTTTGGGAGCCACTGAAAGAATACTTTTCTGCTGTATCTTTCCCTTTGCTTGAACAATGTGATCAATTCTTAATCTTGAGCCAAGAAAACTGTGTGTGTCGTCCATACTTATTATGGCACAAAGGGGGAATTGTAGGAAGCCCACCCCCACCCCGGAAGGAAATATTTTGGAAAAATTAAAAGGGGCAAAATATTACATTTCCCCAATGGAGAAACGGAGAAACATGCTCTTAAAAGGCAGAAAGCACACCCAGTCTTACTGCATAGTGAAACCGCTTCCAACAGATGCCTGAAGTCTTTGGACATAGATATTTTGTGCCCATGAGGCCAATCGATTCATAAACAAAAACACCTTCAGCTCCAGCTGATGGGATTAAGAAGGGCAGGACATGACTTTTAGGACATAATAGGATTAACTCACCACCTTTAGAATAGCAAAGGGTACAAGCTCACTACCTTGCACAACTTCTGTAGCATCTTTGCACAACTCCCTGCAACCTCTCAGAACCCTATAA